TTATTATATAGAATATTTGGGGTATATATATACCAGGGCACACAGGCTATTGCTGAAAGTCCTTTATTTATGCCATAATGACATTGCAATATAATAGTGGTTTTGGAGAATATTATGAGTCGTTCACTTATAGTAACTCATAGTTGATAATGATGCAGTTGATATCTGTGTAATTGCTCCAGATTTTACAAAGGTAACATAAATCAACATTCGAAGTAGATAATTTTGTAACTATTCGTGCACAGGTGGGGTCCCTCGGCCAGGCTGGCGATCACAGCTGGCCAGCCAGGGAGGGACCATGGGAGGTTGGCTGGCCAGGGAGGTACTACAGGAGGGCTCCAGGGCATGTCCAGCCCATCTCACCCAGTCCTGATAGGACGGACCCCAGCAGCAAGCTAACCTACCAGTCGGAGCGACTGCCCCCTGGTGGTCAGTGCACATCATAGTGACTGGTCAGTTCACGGGCCAACGCTCTATCCACTGAGCCAAACCGGCTAGGGCAAGGGCCAAAAGAGTTAACAATAGTCCTAGCTCAGTGGTCAGCAAACTCATTAGTCAACAGAGCCAAATATCAACAGTACAACGATTGAAATTTCTTTTGAGAGCCAAGTTTTTTAAACTTAAACTATATAGGTAGGTACATTGTTACTAACTTAATTAGGGTACTCCTAAGCTGGCCTTTGCTAAAAACGTCCTCCATCTGATTGAGGTACATTCGCTGAAGTCGACCCCTTCCAACTCTCCCATCCACACTCATCTTGTATACTTGTTTCGTCTGTCTCCTTTCCGAAAACCGACTTCTGCGCATGGGCCACAAAGTTTCAATTGCACTGTACGGGCGCGCCCGCACGTGGTATTTTGTGGAAGAGTCACACTCAAGGGGCCAAAGAGCCGCATGTGGCTCGCGAGGCACGGTTTGCCGGCCACTGTCCTAGCTGGTTTGGCTCAGTGGACAGAGCATCCGCCTGCGGACTGAAGGGTCCCAGGTTCGATCCGGTCAAGGGCACATGCCCAGGTTGCAGGCTCAATCCCCATGGGGGGCATGCAGGAGGCAGCCAATCCATGATTCTCTCATCACTGATGTTTCTTTCTCTCCCTAAAAAAAGAGTTTAACAGTGGTTTCATCTCAGCTGATGGAATTCTGGGTGATTTGTATTTTCTACAGCTAATAAGTACTTCTTTTTTTAAAATATATTTTTATTGATTTCAGAGAGGTAGGGAGAGGGAGACAGACAGAAACATCAATGATGAGAGAGAATCATTGATTGGCTGTCTCCTGCACACCTGGGGATCGAGCTGCAACCCGGGCATGTGCCCTTGACCAGAATCAAACCTGGGACCTTTCAGTCCACAGGCCGACACTCTATTCACTGAGCCAAAGCGGCTAAGGCTAATATGTATTTCTTTAAAAAAAATTTTTTTTAAGTAGATAAAACATTCGTACATGTAACTAGAGACATGCATGGAAAATCCTAAAGTGACCTAGATCTCCTGAAACATTTTTAGACAAAAGCTTTTTAAATCATTCTAAATAATAGGAAAAGGTTTCAACTTTCCTCAAATAAAAGTAATTAGGATAAAATATAAATATCCACTGAAAATAATTTGACACAAATTTTCCAACATCCCCAAATGTTTCCAATTATCAATGCATTCTACCTAATCCTAAATAATTTAGAATGCTGAGAGTAAGAATGCATTCATATACTAATTTGTGTAGTTTTAAATAAAACAACCATCAGGGAAAAATTTAATGTCACCTAACACTTTTCTTAAGAACAAGTGGAGTAGGCAATATCACAAACCTAGCTAAATATAAGGTTCCCAAATGCCAAAAATAAGAAGACTTCAAAAATAAAAATTGCTAAAAATATTTCTACTGCTAACCATGAAAACTTTCTTATACCTCCTCCAAATAAACAATCATATAAGTAATCCTATATAATAAAGAGCTAATATGCTAATTAGACCGAACAGCCGGACGACATTCCAGATGAAGCTGAGGCTGCAAGGGCTGGCCAAGGCTGCAAGGGCTGTGAGGGCTGGCCAAGGCAGTCAGGACTGCAAGGGTTCAGCCCCTCGCACGAATTTCATGCATCGGGCCTCTAGTTCCTAATATTTATGCATTATGTTTTCAAAAGGTTAATTTAGAACTATTTTTAGAACTTAGACCACAGTTTCATTTTGAAACTATTATACTGACCAGGTCAAAATAAAAGCTCTTTGAATGCAGGTGCCTTGTGTGAGCACCATATCAGTGATGGCGAACCTATGACACGGGTGTCAGAGGTGACACGTGAACTCATTTTTTTGGTTGATTTTTCTTCGTCAAATGGCATTTAAATATATAAAATAAATATCAAAAATATACATCTTTGTTTTACTATGGTAGCAAATATCAAAAAATTTCTATATGTGACACGGCACCAGAGTTAAGTTAGGGTTTTTCAAAATGCTGAAACGCCGAGCTCAAAAGGTTTGCCATCACTGACCTATATAATGTACTGCCAGCACTTAAAATGGTACCTGACATTCAATAAACATGTTAATGGATTAACCAAAGGAATATTTGAAGAGTAAATATATTAATAGAGATGAAAGCCATATTTAACTTAAGAAAACCTTCGCAAGGCTAGAATTTCTAACCTTCTTTTTCAAAGTAAAGAGGGTTATATCCAAGATAAATTAGTAAAAAAAAAAAAAACTAAAAAACAAACAAGGAAGCATTTATACTGTGGTCAAAAGGGTTGATGTCACTGAAGGTCATCCCAGCATCTATATATATAAAAGGCTAATATGCAAAGTGTCCCCTCGGGAGTTCCACAGGGAGACTGAGAGTTTGATTGCTCGCTATGATGTGCACTGACCACCAGGAGGCAGCGTGGAATGAAGGAAGGCCCCAATTGGCCCTGATCACCAGCCAGGACTACGGACCCTACCCATGCACGAATTTCATGCACCGGGCCTCTAGTACCTATAGCTTTTATGGGATGAGTTATGTATCCCCCCCCCCCCCAAGTCATATTTTGAAGGCCTAACCTACAGTACCTCAGAATGTGACTGTGTCTGAACATTCAAGGAAAATTGTTCTTTCATCCATAATTACTATTAAGCAATCTATTCCTGAGTTCTTCAAATCCCACTATAGGTCATTACTCTGGTTAAATTTCACTTCTATCGAGACCAGCCGTGGGCAAACTACGGCCCGCAGGCCAGATCCGGCCCATTTGAAATGAATAAAACTATTGAAAAAAAAAGACCGTACCCTTTTATGTAATGATGTTTACTTTGAATTTATATTAGTTCACACAAACACTCTATCCATGCTTTTGTTCCAGCCCTCCGGTCCAGTTTAAGAACCCATTGTGGCCCTCGAGTCAAAAAGTTTGCCCACCCCTGATCTAGATAATTATCTTCCCAACTGATGACTTCTGGATTTGGGCTCATCATCTAAAATTATTTCAGGTTTAGCTCATTTGCAAAATTATTCAACATTCCACCACTGCCTCCACAAAATTTATTAATAAAATATTTAATAAGAGAGTAGAGAACCCTAGAGCCTGTCCCTGGGTATCTCTGTCCAAAGTACCATTTATGTCTTCATCAGGCTCATTAGAATACACCTATTAAATTAATATAAAGCTGCCTACCCATATGCTTATTAACATTTCTCCTTAACATCCTCATGTATGTCAGACTTTTTCAAATCTATTACAGATACATATTACAGCTATTACACTACTCTGATCTATAAATTCAATAAATATATCAAAGAAAGAGGTAATAAAAGGGAAGAAAAAGACAAACATTAGTCTGTCATGACTTGTTCCTAGAGAAACCCTGGGCTGGTACATAGTAATCACAGCTTTTCTCAGTGCTCAGTCAAGAAGAATAAAACACTATTGAGTAAAATACAGAATTTGAGTCCATAATTAAACTGTAAGGACACAGAGAAGTTTCATACACAGGTGATAGAAACAGGAATATTATTATAGTTTCTCATTTAATACTATAAATGAAATATTCATTACAAACATTTACAATATTTCTAGTTGGTACCACTATGTCTTGTAAAGATAAATTTCAGTTATTAAAGTGTCTTTGCTGGGCTTCTGATATATCTGAATAAACCTTAGTTAATTAAGCAGAGATGCTATTAATCTGAACATATAAATAAAACACAGTAGTTCTGGTGGAATATTCACTAGGAGAGCATGTGTGAAGCCTTCTTCTAAATCTCATTGTTTCAGAGCTAGTAAGAGACCTGGTGTTTACAGCACAACTAGAGGCCTGGTGCACGAATTCATGCACGGATGGGGCCCTTCGGGGGGCCTGCGGGGATTGGGAGCCAGCTCATGCCTCCAGGCTCGCAGCCCTAGCTCGTGCCCCCAGTCTCGCAGCTCTGCCTGGCACCCCGCCGTGGCCTGGTGCTGCCGCCTCACCTGCTCCACCATCCTGACTACAAGACGATTGGTCAGGGCCAGGCCCCCCGCCCAGCTCCCTCAGCACCTGGGAGCCAGGTGGTGGCCTTGCCCCCCACCGCTGGTTGCCATTTGTGGGGCAATGGGCAGGGCGATCAGGCCCCCACTCGCACCCACCTTGGCCTGGCACCACTTGCTCATCTACTCCACCATCCCGCCATGGTCCTGCTCTCATCAGGGCTCATCAGGGCTGGCAGTGCCTCCACTGCCGCCCATTGTCAGTGCCACGTCGCTAATGACAGCCATGGTCTCTTTCGCCCCTGGTGGTCAGCGCACATCATAGCAAGTGGCCAAACTCCTGGTCGAACAATTTGCTTATTAGGCTTTTATTATATAGGACTGCCTCCTTTTATAGATGAACACACCGAGGCTCTCAGAGATGGAATGACTTGACCAACCTCAGAAAGCTAACTCTGGCCTGGCTGGGCAAAGAAGTTAGATCTACTCCAGGGCTACTGATAATGCTTCACAAACTATGTCGTCAAAATAATAAGAAGAACAATACTAATATTTTCTTACCAACTGGACTTCGCCAAAAGCACCTCTTCCAATAACTTTTACAACCTCGTAGTCTTCTGCCTTCATCTGCAAACCTCTGATTTTTTTCACAATTTTCTCATCTACAATAAAAAGGTCACCATATTTATAATATTAATCATCACATTTATAAACAATATTTTAAAATAATCAGCATATTTGTAAACAAATTTTTATTCCAAGGAATTTGGCTTAGTTTTCAGCTATATCTGTCAGTTTTTAAAGGTTGCTATTTAAAAATCTAAGATACACATTAACTTCACGTCAAAGAATCAAAACACTATGGTTTATTAACATATATAAACAAACACTACTACCAAAAGTAGCAGTTAAGCTATTCTGTTTCTGACTCTGTTGCTTGGCAAGTTAGATGACAGCTGAAACAGTAATGACCCCAGTGATCCTGAGTGCATTCTAAGTCATGAAAGAAAGTTGCTATAAAATTACTTGCAGGGCTAATCTTAGCAATGAATTTTTGGAAGCCTACTTCTTTAGTAACCACATATTATAGATATGGTAACTATAGACAAGATTGTGGAATTAGGAAAACAGTCCAGTCTCTGACAATTCCAAATGAAAGAGCTTACTGTGTTGATATAAAATATGTATTAGTTATTTTAAAAATTTCTTATTCTTAGAATTCAACTTCATTTACACCTTCACATCAACATCAATACCAACAAAATATTAAGAGTTACCACTTATATGACAATAATTATTACATTATCTTTTACTAACTAGATTGAAATGTCTACATTTATGCAAACATAAAGCTCATTAAGTCTTCCGGATAATGTAGAGGTCTTAGTGTTGTTAATATTAATTTAAAACTTCTCTTGAAACTGCCATAAATAACCTGTCCTGAAAACCACTAGTCTTAATAATTTATACAAAATCTTGAACTTTACCTACATTATATGCTACAATTGGTTCTGCAGTTTTGCTTTGAAAATAAAGAATATTAGTATTTAGCCCAGCCGGTGTGGTTCAGTGGTTGAGCATCGACCTACGAACCAGGAGGTCACAGTTCAATTCTCAGTCAGGGCACATGCCCAGCTTTCAGGCTCGACTCTCAGTGTGGCGTGTGCAGGAGGCAGCCGATCAATGATTCTCTCTCATCATTGATGTTTCTTTCTCTCTCTCTCTCCCTTCCTCCCTGAAATCAATAAAAGTATATTAAAGTGGCAAGCTGAAAATTACTTAAGTTTAATAAGTTAATAAGTTTATGGACTTTAATAATGTTAATCAAACATAAATCTCTCATCAAAGTATAGTCATGGGATCAAATATGAAGTTTAACATACTTACATCTATTTAAGAAATTATCTATATTCTTGTTTTTCCTCAAAGCAGGAAAATCCAAATCAAGGACCAAGGAATTTAAGCCATCCTATTTAATAAAAAATGTAAAAAGGAAAAAGAAAATTGTTACAATTTCCAAGCATTTTTTAAAAAAAAAAGGTCTTTACATTTTATCATATGTTATTCTCGCTGAATAAATGTCAACCCATTTTGATATGAAACTGCAAAGTAGATCAGTATCTAACATCTTTAACTGATTTCCTAACTTGGTCAGACAATTAAGATTGACCCTAATATGTTTTCCTTTGTTCTTTTAGCCAAAAGAAACAGTCATTTTAAAATATGCACCCACTATTATTTTTGTGGGTTAGATGTCTTCTTTTCTCTCTTCAAATGCCCAGAAAAATTTCACCAAGCTTTTGACTTTAAGAAATATACCCAGACTAAGGAAGTTGCCATTCACTCAACAATCATTAATTTTGTGCCTAGTGCAAAGAATAGAAAATTCAAAAATAAGTAATACACCAACTATCCTTACCTTCAGGAAACAGCCTCAAAACTAAATTTCCCATAAAAATATGAAAACAGGATGATGCATTTTTCAGATTTCTATTTTCTTCTTTAAGTTTTCTATATTTTTCAGACTTTCTATAAGAATGCATTAAATTGCCTGATCAGCGTGGCTCAGTGGTTGAGTGTTGACCTATGAACCAGGAGGAAACGGTTTGGTTCCCCATCAGGGCACATGCCCAGGTTGCGGGCTCAATCCAAAGTGTGGGGCATGCAGGAGGCAGCCAATCAATGATTCTCTCTCATCATTGATGTTTCTATCTCTCTCCCCGTCTCCCATCCTCTGTGAAATCAATACAAATATATTTTTAAAACGCATTAAATTTATAATCAAAATAGGAAAAAGCATATACGTACATATAACTTGGTGGGGGTGAAAAAAACTAAGAAACAAATTACTCAGTGGATGTGCTTGTGTAGGAAACCATGTTTCTAAAGCACTATCATATATATTGTCTCATCCTCAAGTAACTCTGAGGAGGGCAGGATAAAATATATTCATTTTAAAAATAACAAAATAAGGCTTAGATTAAGTGACTTAGACTTGCCCAAGGTCATGCTATTAGGAAATGACCAGCAGGATACTACCTAAATCTTAAAAGGTCCAATATACTTAATTCATCTCCCTAGTCTCAATGACCCGACTAACACCAATGGGAACTTGGAAGGGTAAAGAAGTAAGCTGGAGGATTGCAGGGGAAAAAAACAACACAGCAATAAAGAGACCTTTTAGGGGTCTGGGTTGAGGGAAAATCACATGCAAAACTTAGAAAGGTAACGGGTCTTTAAGTTACTAGTTCTAGAAGAATTGCACATACTATATATTTTTTAAATTTATTTTTATTGATTTCAGAGAGGAAGGGAGAGGAAGAGAGAGATAGAAACACCAATGATGAGAGAGAATCACTGATCGGCTGCCTCCTGCAAGCTCCCTACTGGGGATCAAGCCACAACCTAGGCATGTGCTCTTGACCGGAATCAAACCTGGGACCCTTCTGTCCACAGGCCGACACTCTATCCACTGAGCCAAACCGGCTAGGGCTGCACATAGTATATTTTACCATTCAGTTATACTTCATAAATTTTTCATTCTTTAAAAAATGTCAGTACTTTATAAAAACATTCTTTAAAAACAGAATGTCAAAGGTACTAACAATAAACTATAAATATTTTCAATTGCAATTAAAATGATTTAGACACATTAAACGATCTAGATTCTCCTTAACTGAAAGAAAAATACATTAAAAGTAATAAATATCCAACTTCCAGTCAAGTTAAGATTGTTAATTCATTTTGAGGCTATCTCCCACCCGATGCCCACAATTCCCATCTCCATAACAGCTGAACTGCTTTTCAAAGACTCCAGCATTTTATCATACCAGGATATTTTTAAGTACCAAATAGCAATATATCTTGAGTGGTATAATTTTGATATTTTAAAAAATTTTAAATGTGAAATCCAAAACATTTATATTTTTAGATATATCCATATTTATACTCTGTATTAAACTTTCAAATCAAAGAAAGGTGCTTTCATGTGAAAAGCATTCTTCTATGCCTCCATTAATCTCCAGAGGAAGAAAAAATTTAAATTGATAAGGCATAAGGTATTATTACAAGAATTAATATTAATAAAATTACATGGTCTCAGTATTTTGATATTACAATAATGACACAGTTCACTGGCATCATTTTCTTAAGCCAAGTGGTTTCAACATCCATATTTTAAGGACATTGGTGGCAAGGTCTGTTTATACTGTGCTCCATGAAAGAGGCACTCCAGAGAAGACTGGATTACTTAAAAGAAAAATTTTGAGCCAAAGGGAGGGAGAAAAAAAATAAAAAGAAAAATGGCTTTTACTGCAAAGTCTATTAGTAAGTAAGGATGTTGAGGATGATGCTGACCATCAACACAAAACATTTGCTTATTATCTCTGTGTGTGGGGAGGGAGGAAGCCACTTTAACCATAGAGCTGTTCCAGCCTTTTATTAATTTTGAAAGTAAAATAAACAGATGAACAAAGTTTTGTTTACTAGTGCTTTGTTTACAGAAGGTAAAACAACTTGGTTACATTTCTACAACATTACAAAACACAGTCCTCCAAACCAGTTTCCAGTCAATTGTTCAGATCATTAAACCAATAGAACCTTCTCTTTCATTTTATAACTAGAAGTCTGCCCATATGATTTCCACCCACCAGAACCTAATTGTAGAAAACCATTTTCCACAAGTTGTGAAGTTAAATTTCAGTTTTTTCTACAAAAAGTCTCTCAAATAAGATCAATCACTCAATAAATGTTGGTTATTATTATTTCCATTATTTTCAATATTACCTAAATACAAACTTTGCATTTAAGGATTAATTAAAGAGATGTAGAGTTTAAAGGGTTTTTAATTTAACTTTAACATCTAAATTTATCAGCACATCTTTGATACTAACAGATTAAGCCAAAAACCATTTCTTCACTAATTTAATGTGTTCCATAAAGAAAACTATTTTACTTTTTATGTTTTTATTCCCAATATCTTTACCACAGTGCTAGTCTGGCAACTAATCAAGTATTGTTTATGAAGCCAAATTAAATAAAGGTAAGTCTGAAAAGTACTAGTTGCTACCTCCTTTTGTTATAAATGTACTTAGATTGTAATCAATTTTTAAAACTCTTTTCAATCTTACTTCAATTTTATGTAGCTTGAAATTTTATTTCAGCAAATTAAAATCTGGGAGAGATTGCATACAACACATAAGCATTTCGAGCAACATTATTTACAAGAGCAAAAATTCAAAACAACCTAAAAATCTTGAAAAAATATAGTAAAATCTAAGTGAACAAAATCTAAGGTATTAGAGAACACACCTTAATAAATACATACTTTAAAAAAATTTCATATAGAATTTACAGCTCTCCTTATCTCTACTGAAACATATCCTATTTTAAATTCCTATAAAGATCGCAATAAAGATTCAAGTTTTGGTCAGAAGCAACATTTACTTGAGAACTCTGGAGAAAGGAGGGGGAAACATATGATTTGTAGGAGACAGAGAACAGTGATATCTTAATATCTAATATTAAGGACACTCACTCCTGTGGTCCAGTAACTGCAACCTGCATAATGTCAATTTTAAACATTCTACTCATTGATCATCACCTTCTTATATTTACAGCTCACTCTCACTAATACTTCTACTCCAACAATCTCTTGACTCACCAGGAACCTTCAATCCAAACCTTACCATTTTCCATTGTCTTTTACCACCCCCTCCTATGTTATACTTTTTTTCAAAAATATGTTTTTATTGATTTTAGAGAGGAAAGGAGAAGGATAGAAAGAGAGAAATATCGATGAGAGGGAAACATCCATCGGCTGCCTCCTGCACACCCTCTACTGGAGATGGAGCCCGCAACCTGGGCGTGTACCCTGACAACTCAGGTATGTGTCCTGACCAGGAAATGAACCAGTGACCTCTTGGTTCCCAGGTCGATGCTCAACCACTGAGCCACAGTGGCCAGACTGTTTGACTCTTTATATACTTAAATTCCAGTCAATCATAATAATCACTGTCCTGCACTTACTCTTTTGTTCTTCTCATTTAATCATACTCTTCTGAAAAAGCACATCATTGGTTAAATCCAATTATCTTTCTACTTAGTATTTGAACTTCCTAGAGCTAAATCTGTCTTAAGAAAAGGACACAACCATGTTCAAGTGACCCTTAGCTGACTGGCAATCCTAGACTATTTCCCTGGTCCATTTTCTCTCCCATTCTACTCAAATTTTTTTCATCAAACCTCAAAAATCTCCTCTCCTAATTTCATTCTCAGCTATAGTCCTGACTTCTTATCTCATTAAGAACTTGTACAAGTTCTCATACCAAATCTGTCTATATTCCTACATCTGTATCCATATATTTTACTTTCTTTCCTCCTATATTATAGTGCTAGCCACAACCATCTCTCCACCTGTGCACAATCTCTCCTCCCCTCTTGCCTACTAGAAGACAACACTACAGCAATTCTTCTGTCCCCTACCATAGCCATCCCATCATCCCCTCATCTCTTATTCTCTCTCTACATGATTACTGCCACTGGCATGTTATTTCTCTTACCCTTAAAAAAATAAAATCCCTTTGATTCCACTTCCCATACAGCTATCATATCATTTCTCCCTTTCCCTTGCAGCGGTTCTCAACCTGTGGGTCGCGAACAATGAAAATACATCCTGCATATCAGATATTTACATTACAATTCATAACAGTAGCAAAATTACAGTTATGAAGTAGCAATGAAAATAATTTTATGGTTGGGGGTCACCACAACATGTGGAACTGTATTAAAGGGTCGTGGCATTAGGAAGGTTGAGAACCACTGCAAGAACCTATGATAGGGAAATTCCTTGAAAGAGATTATTTATACTGTTTTTAGCTTTTCTCCTCCTATCTCATTGGAACTAACTCCAATCAGTTTTCCCCCTTTCCCACCACCACATCCATAACCAAACTATCTAAACTGTTCTTC